TTCTCAAGAAAACATTCACAACGTCTCCTCTCTCACTTTTTAATTCATTTAACTTGAAATGAAATAATGCCTTTGTTGGCGCATATGCACATTCTGAAAACTTAGACACAATCGTCTCCCTAACCAAATTTGTGTTTCCACATGACAACTTATCCCTCAAATTTCTCTTTAGATGTTCAAGACAAAATCCATGAAAACAGTTAGGGAAAAACCTAGCAATTCCTTCCACAATACCGCAATGTCGATCTAATATGAAACTTATCACCCTTTCTGATCCCAATACTCCACATAAATGTTCAAGGAACCAACACCAATTGTCTTTATTCTCAGCATCAACAACAGCAAAAGCTATAGGAAAAAAACTTACAAAACAAATAGGAATAAGCATATTAGATATACACATGCAGAGAAAATTAGAACAATAAACAACCAGAGAAATTTGACACTGCCAACATTCAGAGAAAATTCACTTAGTGCCCAACTCCAGAAAAAATTCACACATTAGTAACATCCAGAGAAAATTGACTTAGTGACCAACTATAGAGAAAATTCACACAATCAGAATATCCAGAGAAAATTCACTTAGTGACCAACTACAGATAAAATACAAACATTGGCAACATCCACACAAAATTCACTTAGTGACCAACTACAGATACAATTCACACAATGACAACATCTAGAGAAAATTCACACACTGACCAAAATCCAGTGAAAATTATCACAGTGGCCACAACCATAGAAAATCCACACAGTAGCCAAAACCAGAGAAAATTCAAAGTGTCAGAGAAAAATCACATTCACTCAATTCCTACATGTATAGAAAATTCACATACTTAGATAAAATTAGATATATTTACAATTACCTTCATTCCCATCTTTCCCCGTTGCAGCAAGCATAACTCCTTTGTATCGTCCTTTCAAAAATGTTCCATCAAGAAAAAGCAATGACCGACAATAATTGAAACCAGCAATGCATGCATGAAAAGCCACAAACACTCTTTTGAAACGCTTGTTATCTTCAAAATCTAACTCAAAACGACTCCCTGGATTGTTCTTCAATGCCTCATCAAAATACCACCGTAATTGATCAAATGACAAACAAGAATCCCCATATGTACTACATTTTGCTTTCTCAACACTCAACCAACCACAGTTATAACTAATTGACACCCCATACTTGTCTTTCATTTCTTTCACAACATCCACTGGACGAGTTAAAGGTTTTGCACTTACCTCTTCAAGTATCAGCCCAGAAACTAAGCTGGAAATCATCCTAGCATGTTTACTCGTACGAACCGCCACACCACACGTATGTTCATTGTTTAAAGTTCTTATGTAAAGAACCCATTTGTTTTTTCAACTGAAGCATGTACACGCCACATACATCCCCTTGATTCCTTATATGCACATTCTGTCATAACCCTCAGCTTGTCATTTTTAACATACGTAAACTGAAAGCCAACCTCAATAGCATACTTGCACAATACAGTATGGAACTCAACCACACCACTCTCAAACTTTTGTCTAACACTCGTAATATTATTTCGTCAACCAGCTGACAATAACACAATTTCTTAGTGTGAACAAAACTTAGAGAGTGAATTCCTTTCAATATCTACTAGCCTATCACATTCACCATCCACAACATCTACCCAATTAGACCCCACTTCGTCCTCTTGATCAGAAGTACTACATCAAATAACTGAAACATCAACTATATCAACACCACGTGCACAAACAATCCTCAACATATTCAGAAAATTAATATCATTTCGAACCATATAATTCGGATGACCCACAATAGAATATGAAATACACATCGACTCAGGTTGTAAATTCTCCCATGTTTTACACAAAATGCCAACTAATTCCTCAAAATTCAATTCGCATGAAACATTAATGACAATAGTATCATTCCCATATTTGCACAGCAACAACACTGCACTGTCCATCAAAACTGAAAGGAAAAAACAAGAAAAATAAATTGTTCAACATAAAAACACTTCACAAGAACAACATAAAAGTCCAGAGAAATTTCTAATAATTATAATTTTCTTTGGATTATAATAACAAGCTTATAATTTTCTCTGGATTCAAATAAAAGTCCAGAGACATTTACAAACTTATATTCACCTTTAAGATAACAAAAACAAAATCACAGAAAAATTAATGAATCCAGATAGAATCACAGAGAAATTTACTGCTAACTATTAAACACAATCATAGACAAAAAACACACAGAAAATCTGTTATAAAATTATAAGCTTCTCTGTAATTTTCACTGAAGTACAAGCTTACAATTTTCTTTGCGTCATTCTGCAATATTGCACTCATATCAAAATCCAGAGAAATTTACAAACTCATATACACCTTTAAGATTCCCCAAAAACAGTGCACTGCCCATCTAAACTGAAAGAAAAAACACAAAAAATAACTTTTGCTCAGAGAAACAAAAACTTATATTCATTTTCTACAAACTTATAATTTTCTCTGAAGTACAAACTGAAAGTGAATAACAAACTTATAATTTTCTCTCAACTACAAATAAAAGTCCAAAAAATTTAAGAACTTACATTCACTTTCTCAGATTTTATCTGCACTAGAAACTAATAATATGTCCATATGAACTTATAATTTTCTCTGTCATTTTTGTTGGATTATAATAACAAACTAACAAATTTCTCTGGACTATACCAACAAAAATGCAGAGAATGAAATTTCTCTGGTTTAAACAAATTTCTTTGGTTTGAAAAAATACAGAACAAAACTTATCATTAACCAGCATGTTGATGAAAAACAGAGCACGAAAAATGAATTCTGATCAGCATGTTGATGGAAAATAGAGCATGAAAAATGAACTCTAAACATCAAAATGAACCACACTGTCAACACTCTTTGAAATTGATCAAAAAACAAAGAATGGAAAATTAATTCCAAAAATAAAAATCAACTCTATCAAGCTGACCTCTGTCTAAAATTGATCAATAATAGCAAATGAAAAATCTACTCTAAAAATCATAAACTACTTCACTGAGCTAGCCTCTTTTTTAAATTGATCAAAACTGAAAACAAAAACCTAATGCAAAAATATACTCGAAAAACTAATATGAAATCGGAATCCTTCAGCATGTTGATGGAAAATAGAGCATGAAAAATGAACTCTAAACATCAAAATGAACCACACTGTCAACACTCTTTGAAATTGATCAAAAAACAAAGAATGGAAAATTAATTCCAAAAATAAAAATCAACTCTATCAAGCTGACCTCTGTCTAAAATTGATCAATAATAGCAAATGAAAAATCTACTCTAAAAATCATAAACAACTTCACTGAGCTAACCTCTTTTTTAAATTGATCAAAACTGAAAACAAAAACCTAATGCAAAAATATACTCGAAAAACTAATATGAAATCGAAATCCTTGCATAAAATTCAAAACAAAAATCAAAAATTCATGTGGAATCTCTATCGAAATCATACCTGATTCAACTTCACTGAAAAACCTACGCAATCAACACACTATAACACCTACACGATCGTCGTAATCTCTATCGTGAAGTCCACTGTAACACTTTCGAAATCCCTACAAAATCTCTACCGTGAAATCAGTTTCCAAAATCTCACCGTGAAGTCAGCAGTTTGCCAAAATCCAAACGATCTTATGTTATAACGAGGGTAAATTAGGTATTTTATAACATAAAATAAAGTTAAGGAACCTTAGCCATCATAACATATTATTGTGTACCTTTCCTCCTATAAGTTGGGGAGAGACCTTAGGCCAATTTTCCCAATTTTTTAAGTAGAATTAAATTTTCATAAATGTTATGTAGAAAATTTATTTTATCACACAATATCGTAACATTAACACAAACATGTGTAACATTGTCTAAAATTGGCATAACAAAATGTCCAAATTTTTTGTACGTCATGTTGCAAAAGTTTGTAAGTTAGCTACGATTTTTTTTAATGTCAATTTATAAAAAAAAAAATACGTTTTTTATGGTTAAAATGAGTGTAAATTTTATGATAAAGTTACACATTTTATGGTAGGATATGTACCCATAAATAGCTACATACCAAATTATATTTTTATACGCACATATATATATATATATATATATAACTAAAATAAGAATATTTTTTTGATGTGACAATTTTTTTTTTTTTGAAATTGTTTTTCTCCTTAAATTGGAGGGAAACTTCAATTTGCAGTAAAGCATTTTTGAAAAGTGTGTTTAGTTTTTTGAATAACCAAACAAGTATTTCAAAATTTTCAAAAAATTGAATTTGAAAAACAACAACCAAACAAAGTGATAATTAATTTTTTTTATTCATAAATCTCACACTTTAGCAATTTAATCTCCACCATATGAATACATTGAGGTAAATTATGGATTGATATGCTAGGTTCGTAGCCATTTTTAATTTTTGTTTTAGGGAAAAGATTATGATATACACTCTAAAAATGGTGTACTATATTTGCATGTTTGATTGGAAGGATTAGAGCATGAGATTGGAATTATTAATTCGCGGGCCCAATTATCTTATGTTTGTTTTGACATTTTGTTTTAAGATTATCAATCTAATGGATAATTAATCCAATAAATTTGTACGATTATTAGTAATGGGGTAGGGGTGGGATTATGAATACTACACTAATTTGATTGGATTATTAATACCTCACTATTAGTCTTGTGAAATGAAACATGGTAAACCTTATAATTAAAGAAGAATGTAATAATTTTATACTTTCTACGTCTAACTTTAAATTAAAAAAAATCATAACCAAAATTAATTGTAATTAAAAAAAATCATAAATTAAGGTTTCGTTTAGAAAATAGATTGACCTTTTGACTATTTTAGCCTAGAGTTAAAAAATTTATTTTGATTAAATTTTATAATTTTTTAAATATTTTGAATAAAATATTATAATTTGATTGAAATATTTTATTTTATTAATTTTTTTAATTTATTTTATTTTTGTACAGAGTCCAAAGTCGCAAGGAAGCAATGAAGGCGGCACATTTCCCTCTAATTTTACCGGCCACTGCTCTCTGTCGGCTAAATCGCAGACACTTTCGTCTCCCTTTCTGTCTAACCATTCAATTCTCTCTCTCTCTCTCTGTCTCTCTCTCTCTTCATTCACAGCTTAAACAACAACTATACATAATACTACACTTGCCCATATAGCTTGTGTGTGTATACATACGTTTATATTTGCATTCAATTTCGTGCAATTCAGATTCTACGCTCAAAAACTCTCCATCTGTGATCTGGGTTTTGCTTTCCGAGTTCCGAAGAGGTCAGTTGCGGTTGTTGATCATATTTGTAAATATATATGTATATATTTATTAGGTATTTTGAATCTATGTGTATATTGTGGTTGGAAATTGGATTTACCTGATATGGTATTGCAGATTAGTTTTATTTTATTTTTTTCTTTTCTTCATTTGAGAATGTGTTTATTCTTTTTTTTTTATATATATATATATATATCTCTGTACTGAACTCCTATTTTGATTGTTTTGGGTTCTTTTACTCTTAGTGTTTCACTGTCCATTTGATTTAATTCATGCTATAGAATCTTGTCTGACTCATATTAGGAATCAGGATACATGTTATTGAGAGAAAGAGTTAAGAACATGGTTTTGAATCGTAGTATCAGAAATCAAACTCTTTAATTTTTTTCAAATACTTACGAAGGCCCAAAAAAATAAAAATAAAAAATAAAATCTCATTAACAAGCATGTTCTGTCCCTACTTATCACAATAAATTGTTGTAATGATTTTGAATCTGAGGTTCCAACTAATGGCCTGATACTGTTAGGCAACTGTGATATTTTAAACCAATACGAGTTGATTTCTATAGCACTATCTCCATGCTTATTCCATTCTGGGTTGGGCTTCTCTCAGGTTGGGATTTCAACATGAGAGAACTTGAGGGATCCGTGAACCCCATCATAAGTCCTGTTTCGATGATTTGAATTGTTTACTTTTTAAGACTCGTTGAGTAGAGTATTCATGCAAAAAATAAGTTGATCGGATATCGGTAACTATATGCTTGAATCAAGTTTATCTTACAAAAAATGGATGGTTATTCTTGAAATTATATTTGATTTCCATTTTTTAAAAATAAATATGATTAAAATATATAGCTATCGATATTCAATTATCTTAATTTTTTTGCTTGAATATTCTATTCAATGAGTCTAAAAAAGTTAACGGTTCGGATCATCAGAATCGATTTCAAAATGGGTTTACCAAGTCCAAACGCTCTCTCAAGTTGAGATCCCAACTTGAGAGAATTGTATGGTAGAGAAGCTTTGACCATTCATGTCATTTATGACTTTTCAAACAAACCTGTGAAGAGTGCAGGATTCATGCATTTTGGCTTCTGCATAACAAGTTAACAACCACTTGGCTAATGCTTGACTAAAGAGACTTAAGTTTCTCTATTGTAAACCTCTTAAATAATTCACCTATTTGATCTTCTAAGCAATTGGAATTGGTGCTCAAGCTGTATCAGAAATTTTTAATCGGACATGGTTATCTTAAATGAAAACCCACAACTTCTACATGTAGAAGTTTGGAAATATCTGAAATATTGTTTGAATATCCAGCTATGTTGGACAAATATGCTATTTTCTTTCATTATAGATTTCAAAAAGTGATAGGTGCTATTTGGTCTTTCGTCCAGTATTCATATTTTTTGAGTTAGTGGTTGTTGTGTTATTGATCCTTTGCAGTGGGCCACTTAAGTATGTGTTTATTGATCTATTTGGAGAAATTTTGCACTAGTTGTAGCATCTTATGCACTATCCAATGTTGTGGCTTTTCTCTGTTTAGTAAACCACTGATGGAGATATTTATTTTGTTTCAGACAGGAATGATGGTTGGAGATATGACAAATGATTCAGGTGGAGAAATTAAGGTAAGTTTTGGTTATCACTGCAACGGAAAGCTTGGTAACTCACATGACATGGCCAATGGATATGAAACTTCACTTGGGATTAAATTCCAAAGTGCCAGCGGTTCCTTCTCTTGCCTATCTGTGGCTGCCTTAAGTGCCAATGCCACACTCGCCAACACAAATATCTGCAATGGCTTAATCGGGGAAGAAATACTTCCAACTTTGGACTCGCCCAATTCATTTCGAAGAATTCCTTCTTCACCCTCTAGTATGAAGTTGGATCTATTATCATCTTCTCTCCAAAGTAGTATGTCAAACTTAAGTTGTAGTCCTTCCACTCCAAGTGAACCATCTGAATATGATTCATTTTCGTTAAAATCCCTGAGTGCTCCTTCCAGAAGTGAAGGTTTCCTTAATGCTATGGAAGTACAAGTGGCAGGTGGTGCTGCTGGTGAAGACAGAGTTCAAGCTGTTTGTTCTGAAGAAAATGGATGGCTTTTTTGTGCAATCTATGATGGGTTCAATGGAAGAGATGCGGCTGATTTTCTCGCTGGAACATTGTATGAGGCCACTGGGTTCTACCTTAACTTACTGGACTGGGAAATGAAGGAAGAATTGGTAGGAGATTCTGATTCTTTGGATTCAGATTATTCCCTCCATTATATTTTGGAAGATGATGGCAAAACTGCAAGAACCGGTAATGGGGATTCATTTATTGACTGTTTCACCAAGGGACCTTCCTCTGCTAAAATGGAACGATCATCTCATTCATTCAAGCATAAGGTGCTTGATAGCCTCCAACGTGCTGTTAATCAGGCTGAGAGTGACTTCTTGTACATGGTTGAACAGGAAATGGAGGACCGCCCTGATTTAGTATCTGTTGGGTCTTGTGTCCTGGTTGTACTTCTACACGGGAAGGACTTGTATACCCTCAATTTAGGTGATAGCAGAGCTGTATTAGCAACTTGTGGTGAAGGAGTTGGTATGAATGGGAAGAAGCTGCAAGCTATCCAGCTCACTGACAGTCATACAGTGGACAATGAAGTCGAAAAAAATCAACTTATTTGTGATCATCCAGATGATCCTGCAACAATTGTAGCTGGAAGAGTAAAGGGAAAATTGAAGGTCACTAGGGCATTTGGAGTTGGATACCTGAAAAAGGTAGGAAGATTAATTGTGTTTGTTTCTTTAATTAACACATAAATCACATGCATCTTGTCATTGTAAAAGGGTTTGTTCCATTCTCTACTTGAGAATTTAACAAATATAAGTTATCCGAACTTGTGCATTTTGTCTGGAAGTTGACACTTCAAGAGGAACTGAAGTCCACAATCATGCATCTCCTGAATTATACCAACGTCGTTGACTATTCTTTATGGCAAGAAGCAGTACTAGAAGAGAATCAAGCACATTAGGCAGACTTTTAACATTTATGGTGGATATAGATTAAAAAAAAGAAAAGAAAAGAAGAGAGAATAAAAATCCTGTTCCTAAAATACCAAGCTCCCTCATTTAACCTCATTTGCCAAAAATTGACCTAGGAAAGCACTAATGTATACAGCTTGTTCATATAGATGGAAATGATAAAACGATCTAGTTTTGGGGTGGTGAGAGTGAGTGCCAGTATCTTGCAACTTGTTTATTAAGACTTGTTTTCTTGACAAGCAACATATAATTCTAGTTTGTTTGTGCAGAAAATTTTGAATGAAGCTTTGATGGGCATTCTTCAAGTTCATAACCTTTTAAGTCCTCCTTATATCACCATACAGCCATCTCTAAATGTCCACGAAATCTCCAGCTCTGATCACTTTGTTATACTTGGGAGCGATGGGTTGTTTGACTTCTTCAGAAATGATGAGGCGGTAAATCTTGTACATTCTTATATCTTGCGCAATCCTTCTGGTGATCCAGCAAAGTTTCTATTGGAGCAGCTTGTAACTAGAGCAGCTGATTCTGCAGGTACAGTGTTACTATCCTACACTTAAAAAAACTTCTTTATTAACTCATTTGATGAGGAACTGGGTCTTTAAAATACCAATTACCAATTTGCTACTTTCTACAAGGTTAGAGCCAATGATTCACAGAATAAAACTCTAGGGAAGCCTTTTGTACAGCATGGCACTATTAATATCACAAAGATCGATGCTTCATTTGACAAAACTAATTCTTTCCATTGTTGCCCCAAAAAGCAAACCCTTATTTGTAGGAATTGCCTACTGGGGATGATGTTTCTGCTCTAGAACTGAGCTTAGTATAGATTATGTGCAATAAAAAGAGAAAAAGAAGAATGATGAACATATCAATCTACATTAGAATGAACTAAGGACGAGAAATGAAGAGCAATTGAACTAGTATAGATTACCAGAACTTCTTGCCTTCTGTTCTTCTTTCCACTATAAGCACATAAATGCTCGATTAGGCACTCCTAATCTTAGATTCTTCTGTGTGCCCCTGCTCCCACTTTGTGTAACTAAGAACAAACCTAGCCAAGTAAACATAAGATATTTCTAGTTTTAGCTTATATGAGCTTCATGGTTTAGAAATTTTGTTCATCATAATAGTTTTGTAGAGATTTGCTAACACAAATTTTAACTGACTAATTGAAATCATATGGTTTTTTCCAACAATTCTAACTTCAAAATAGCTATATATTGCATATTATTCAGTGCCTAGATTTTCAAAGGCATTATTTTCATCATTTCAGGTTTCAGTACAGAAGAATTAATGAGTATACCAGCTGGTAGGAGAAGGAAATACCATGATGATGTAACTGTTATTGTAGTCATCCTGGGAACAAATAAGCGCACTGCAAAGGCATCAACTTGCCTGTGAGGTAGTATTTTGCATCTATTTCCTTACTTCCAAGATTACAAATATCTCCTACTTTGTAATACTACTTTTGGGGTTGTATATATTTCATTCATGATATCCAAACTCTCTGATGGAACAAACACAGCTCTTGATTTTACCATTCAGTTTTGAAATGCATTCAACACCTGATTGAGCACCATTGTACAAAAATATGGGAGGCAATTCCATTTTTCTCTGCTATAAGAAAAAGAATTCTTATCCTGAAAATGGTGAAAAGGTGAGGGTTGGCAAAGAAGCTGAATGGATTGCAGCAACCTTGTTGCTTAGAACATTGCCAGTAAATGGTCTTGTAAACTTAATAAACCTTTTTCTCTTCAACATGTTAATACCATTCCAATTGTTGGTGCCCATCGTTGGCGCTGTTTCGTGTAGCTTATGGGGGCTGCTTGTGGTTTAGTTTAGTTTAGTTGTTTTTTTATTTACTTATTTTATTTTATTTTTTTTAATTTGAGAATTTGTACCAGACTATTTTGTAAAACTTTTGCGTACAACTTATGATATAAAAAATAACTTAAATAAGTTGAAAAATATTGGGAAGTTAGTGAGGTATGCTTTTAGCTTATACTTTTTGGTTTTCCGCTTTCAGTTTATGAAAAGTTGTACCAAAAAAGCCAGTGATAGCTTCTTGGCCCTTCAAGCTTCTACAAGTTAATTACTTGTTAATTATTTGTGCTATCTTTATTTGATTGAATTTTATTTTGTGCCCACAAATAAATTAATGATACTAGTGCAGAATAGAGTATCTATACCTTTGCCACTGGCCAAAATTTTACGCATGCATCTCCTTTTTTTAGAAGTATATACATATATATATGAGATTATACCTAATAAAATATCTTGACAATGGTGAAGTTGAGTTTCAATATTATTGCATGTAAGATAATAGGTCGAAGTAGGGTAGAGAGGAATAGGATCCTTTGTGGATCTCCCCTGCTCCCCTATTCCAAAACCCCTCTCCATCACATGATGGCTTTGGCCTCTTGAAGTGGGGGTAACATTGTCTTTACATTACGAGGACTGTCTCTTGCCTCCATAATCTTCATTAATGAGTGGCCTTCATTGGCACACTATTTTTTTTTTAGAGGGCCCATAGTACAATAATTCCATCCCATCCTTTAGAAAAAGAACATATTTGATGCGCAAGTCTCTCGCTTACAACATGGTCTTGGAGAGGTCGTGTCGTATTATATTCGATAGCATTATAGTATAATTCAGTTCTCGCTCAATATACCAAGTAAAATGCTTCTTGAATTGTTAAAAAATGTCTTGTGGGCTTAGTTCACTTCTTCAAAAGGAGGTCTTATTACAACCCTTCCTCATGCTATTTAGCCTAGGAGGGTCACCTTTTCTTTTTCCTGTGGACCAAGGAGGACCACTGAGAAATGCCATTTGTTTTGGAATACAGATGTTATCTTATCTTTGAAAATGTAAAGATTAACCTGGAATGGTTGACCTCCTTCACAAGTCTTGTGGCAACTCAAAGGATAAGCAACTGTATATAAAATATATGCACACATATTCTGAGGTTCTCTTTTGACTTGAGCCTTAAGAATGTCAAATGGGTCATCAAGTGGCTAGGAGAATAAGAAACCCAATAGAGCTTTTAGGTAGTCCATTGACCCAGTGTAATCAGAGCTCTTATAGCAAGGGATTGTAAATCTTTTGTAGCTAGAGAGTAATTATTGTTGGTTCAAATCATAGGCAAAATGAAAAAAATAGTTATATTTATTTTTTGGGGGTTGGACTAGCATTACTATTTAATTGTTTTGTTAATTCATCAGTTGATGTGATTAGTGTCATCTTTATCCAAATGCGATCACCTAACATTACTCATTAGTATTTGTGTAATTTTTATTTTTTTAAATCTGTTTTAGGTAGGTCAAATTATGCTATTCAACTCTTCATGAAGAGGACTAATGCCCTATGAATATTCTATGGTGAAGAAAGGAGAGTTTTAAAGTATGCCCACTACAAATCTGCAAACAATGATCAGAGAGAATTATATGTGCTATGACTGTTGCCTCATATATTGAAATTGAATAATGGCACATGGGCAACAGGGGTACCCTTTCAATGCTCAAACTAGGGCTCCTAGTGAGACCTGTCCCTGAGACAGGTTAGTTGGAGGGTGCCAACAGTTTTTATGGCCTTGAATTTCTACTGGTTTTGGAGGCTTTGGACAACAGTCATTTGTTATCTTATTTTTAGACTTCTTAGTATGGAAAGTTGAGTTGTGATAAACGCTTTAAACAGTGTAAGTTACAAGTTTAAATTTTGACGAGTGCTGGACTCTCCTCGGGGTCAATCTCAGGATATGTTTAATAATTTATTTTTATTTTTTTTGAATCGACAAAAATCAGTTATTAGTTGTTAGATTAGTATATATAGAAGTTAATCTCTCCATTCTTTGCAAAGCTCAACAACCCTTCTAGGGAGAGTTGAACCCACGATCTCTTTTAGGGATTAAGTTTTTAGGAAAGTCATGATGGCTAGCTAGACAAAACTCTTAGAAAATTCATGATATTTGATAATTACTTAGTATGCATAGGAGGGAAAAACTACATGTATCTAGATTAATCAGGATAAAACTCTTTATACCCTTGTTATCAAAAGAGAAATCTGTAAATTGTAAATTATATTTTAGTACACAATCATGTTGGTATTTTTATTCTATCTCCATCACTCGAATGTTGGTATAATGGGTGAAAGCAATGAATGATGAACTTGAAGCCTGTTTTGAGAACTTTTGATTTTTTACCAAGTTTTTTGGTTTTTTTGGTAGTGATTTGAGAAGTTGGTAAAAAGTTAGTGTTTTTGCTTCTTGGTTTAATATTTTTTAAAAGTGTCACATCACTCTAAAATAACCAAAATATCCTTACTTTTTGCATGTCAACAATTTTTTGAATTAATTAATCATAATGTTTCAGAGGATAGTTTGGTAAATTTTTAAGTGACTTTTTTGAGTCTTCCCAAATGAGATCAATGACATTTTTGCCAGGGTTGGCATTTTTGGAAAGTTGCTCAAAACGTAACTTTTTGCTGCGTCGCCAAAACGGCACTGAATTTGGGTTGTTGAGATTGGCAAAATTGTCTTTTTAAGTCAAAGCACTATATAAAGGCAAATTCTATTCACAAAACATAAGAAATTTCAGCACACATTATTTATTTTATTTGGATATAAATTTTTAAATAAGAGGTAAATTCTCGGACATAAATTGATGGATAAAAAATAAATTCTTCAAAAGGTAAATTACAAATAAGTGTTAATAGTTTGACTTAATTTCTATCAAGTCATAAGTCTTAATAAAATTATTGCTATATATAATTTTTTATGACGATTTTTTACTTATGTCGTTAAAAGTTGATAATTAGTGATTTTTTTTATCACATTTTAAAAAAAGTATCGTTAAAATTTACAATTAGTGACGTTTTTCTGTGACGAATTTTCAAACGGTTGTTGAAAGTTAAAAATTAGTGACATTTTTTTAAACTATCACTAAAACTTGACTTTTTATAACAATTTTCAAACTATGCTGAAAATTAATAATTACTAACGTTTTTTAATAGTGATCAATGAAAAAGATTATTAATTATCATATGATTTATTGGACAATAAATTTATCAATTAGAACCTACCTGTAAGTCTCCGCTGTTCAAATATATATTCCGTTTAACTGTTTATATCCGAACAATAATTTTTTGGTTATAATATTCGAAATTTTGACTTTTGTTCAAAAATTAATACTCGAACGATACAAATAATGTGTAGTAAAATTTTGTTGTGATCTATAGAATTACCCCTATTAAAAGATCTATTAGGAAAAAAGTCAATTTATTGGTTTATTTGCGTTACATCATCTTTCTATTTTTTTACACATTTTTTCAACAAAAATAAATAAATAAATAAATCAATCAAAAAAAAATCAATTGCTAAAATAGGCCGAAATATAAACAACTGACGTCAGTGCAAAGGCCAAGTAACAAAATAGCTTAAACTGAAATTCTATGTTTCCTCACCAATCTACATTCTAATCTTAATGGGTTCCTTCAGCGATCCTTGGCATTTGAGGACATGGATATTCCGAACTTCACTTGTACTCATGGGCCCAAGCATGGCTTAAGGTGTTTTGTTGTTTCAAATAATTCTTCATGGTGTGCAGATGATATTTTTGACAGGATGCTTATTGATGGAGCTTGGCAACAACATTCCTTGCAAGCTGGTGCTGCTTGGGTGGGATTGGATAGCAATGGAAATCCGATTGTTAAACCACGTATGTCCTTTTTTGCTGCTTCATCAGCTCTTGTGATATTTAGAAGCGCTAAAATGGTGTCTTCACTCTCAAATTAAAGCTATTTCTGTTCTTATGGACACTCAGGAATTGATCCTTCAATTACTGACACCGCGACTGGAATTTGGAAACTTTGTTAGCTGATATTAAGTATGTATGTTAGTTTTTTGATTATGTCTGTACTTATAAGATTCCTAGAGTAGAAGTTAAACTTGTGCATGAAGAGGCACAACTAGCTTGTTGTTATAGAAGCACAAGGTTGTAATCTGTCTTTCTTGCTTTGTGTGGGTGTTGTTTTGTTTGTCTGTTTGTCAACTTTAATCTATCAAAGTCTCATAATCTCAAAATCCAAAAAAAAAAAAAAAAAAAAAAACTAAATATAAATATTATTATGTGTTTAGAAAAAATATTTAAAATTTTAGTGTATGAATTAGATTTAGGGAAAATTATACATTAGTGATATTTTTATAAAATATTTACATAAAGTTTCTAACTATAAACTATAAGAATTAATGTTCATAAAGTTTATCATTGATTTGAATTTTTTTTTTTTAAATACGTTGAAGCGTAATTTCTCCCTTAGATTTATTCTCAAAAATTAATCTTGCAGTCCTAAATTACTGACAATTTTTTATTTTAAAAACAATCTTTCTATCACAATTTGATTATATTTCAAAATTTTTGTATCCTGAGATTTTAATGATTCAACAACTACAATTAAATCAAAATAACTTGGAAAAAAAAAATTTTGAAACAACAAATTCATGTTCACACTTAATTTATATTATATATATATACTAGCGTATGCCCGTGCCTGAAGGCACGGTACAATTAATTATGAGATTAAAATATAAATGAAAATTATAGAGGAATGTATTCAAATTTTTTATTTTTTGTTTTTTTTTTATTTTCTTTTCAAAGAGTATGTAATGAATTCACAGGAAGGAGAAAAATTCTTAAATGAAGACATGAAACTTAAATGAAACACCAATTTATTAGTAATCCAAATAAATTTCAGGAACCTCCAAAATTAGGAACCTCCATGACTCTCAAAATGATGTAAACCAATCATATATTTTTATTTTTTTTCTTTCCTTCCTGGACCAATCATAGGTGAGTCAGAGTTATAAAGTTGTATTTTTTTAAGAATTTGTAGCATTTTTTATATTTTTAATAAAAAAAAATCTTCCCAAGATAAATTGTACTTCCCCAAATTGCAATCTCTCAATTTTCTCACCCACTCTCTCTCCTCTTCTCTATTACCTCAGTCTCTCTCCCCCAAAGACTGTAAAACATTAATCTTCTCAACTGTCTTTCTCTCTCTCTCACCAACTGATATCCCCTCGTTCTTCTCTCTTCTCAAACGAAGACTCTCTTTTCATTCTCAGAAAGCTAAAAATATATATATATATATACATATATTTAGCCCAAATTTCACTTTCTTTACTATTTCTCCCACTTTCTTACCCAACCGAACAGGACATAATTTTTTTTGGGTACAAACTACTAATTCATGGGCTGATAAAAATATGATGAAATTACAGATTTATGGGTTGATTTATGGTGGAATACTTGACATATTTATGGGATGAAAGTTTAAAAATCTGATGAAAGTTCAAATATTTACACTGATAAAAAAAATCTAAAACTAACCCAACACATTGAAAAATAATGGAAAGTTTGAAAGATTTAAAATCTAAAATCTGATGGAAGTTTAAGTATTCATGGGATGAAAGTGTTCATGGCAGAAATTTTATCAGATAAAAGTTTCTGCACCAAGTGCAGCAAGGAAAAAACCCAAGTAAAACTATCAAGTATTCCACAAATGGCATAGAAAACCTAAATAAAACCAACCCAACACATTGAAAATACAATGGAACACAGCCATCATCAAATGCACAACTAATTTCCCCCACTTTCTTTCCAACCAAACAGGATATTATTTTTTTGATACAAACTATTGATTTATGGGTTGATAAAAATATGATTAAACTACTGATTTATGGACCGATTTATGGTGGAATTTTGACATATTTATGGGATGAAAGTTTAAAAGTCTAATGAAATTTTAAATATTTGAACTGATAAAGAAACCTAAAACTAACCCAACACATTGAAAAAACAATGGGTTGTTTGAAAAATCTAAAATCTAAATCTAAAATCTAAAATCCTATGGAAGTTTAAGTATTCATGGGATGAAAGTATTCATGGCAGAATTTTTTATTCAATTTGGTCTGATTTTGATAACAAAAATATAACAATAATTTCATGGCTTTTCATAGATATCTATAGAAAGCAAAATAAGAGAGAGACATAGAGAGAGCATACCATTTCTGCTCACAAATTCATATGTTTATAGATTCATATATCTATACACATTTCTAGGAGAGATAGAGAGAGTAAACTCATGGGGATGTGTCGGAAAGCGCCAAAGCCGGAAAACTTGTTCCCGGGGGTGATGTCTCAAGCGAAACGACTTCGAATTTCTACGGATTTCTGCGAATAAAATCAACCTAAAGAAAGTGGTTTTAAACAATCAGGCCAAAGCTAATAGATACTTATGCATAACAGGATAGACAATAGAGTGCAATAATCTAAAACTTTTAATAACATACAAAGCTTGATCTAATATACAAAAACCCACACTATTTTAACCAAAAAAAAAAATAACTTGACTGTGTTGAAATAGACAAATTTTCATGAATCAAATTCCCAAGTTTAGAGAGAAATTAGAAGAGAGAAGTTATTTGGTGTAATTTTGATTTTGTTGTTGCCTCAAGAAACTTGACTGTGTTGAAATAGAAAAAATTTCGTGAATCAAATTCTCAAGTTTAGAGAGAAATTAGAAGAGAGAAGTTAAATTAAGGCCAACAGCAAAATCAAATTGAGGCAATAGCAAAATGAAAATTAAAATTGAGGCAAAATCAAAATCAAAATTAACATGAATCAAATTGAGGCAATAGCAAAATCAAAATCACACCAAATATTTGCAGATGTTTTTTTTTGGATATCCTTTTTTTGGACTCATTAAGAACAGAAGTATTTGCAGATCCATTATCAGATTGTTCCCAACCATCTGAAGGCAGGCTTCCTTGTCTCTGGATGATGGGTCTGAGTGCCATTCAAGAAAGATTCAGATTAGATTACTTTAACATAACTTAAGCCTCCGTTTGGGAAGTAGGTTGGCTTTTTGGCTTTTTGGCTTTTTTGACTATTTTAGCCTGGGCTAAAAAGCTTGGTTTGGGAAGGACTTTTTGGCTTTTTGGCTTTTTTGACTTTTTTTTGTGAGAGAAGAGTGTAATGATTATGGGTTGGATGTGATGTTTTGTTTTTTGTGGCTAAAATAGCCTATTTTGTCTTTTGTGGCTAAAATAGCCAAAAAAGCCCCAAACTCTTCTTGCCAAACGAACCCTAAATGAACTGAGAGAAATTAAGAGAGTAATTTCATATGTAACCGTACCTTCTCAATGAAATTCATTGAAGACAACACATTTGCAATATCGTATAACCGTCTAACTTTAGCTGCAGAATTATCTTATGAAGAAAGTGTTAGCTAAAAGTTTATCAATACTCCTTCAATCAGTAAAATATTCAGATAGCCGAGTGAAGAATCATTACTTCTCATCATTGATGGATCATGTGCATCCCCAAGCAAAATCTTAGCAGCTTCCTCAAGGGAGATCAAATCAACCTAAAGAAAGTGGTTTTAAACAATCAGGCCAAAGCTAATAGATACTTATGCATAACAGGATAGACAATAGAGTGCAATAATCTAAAACTTTTAATAACATACAAAGACTGATCTAATATACAAAGACCCACACTATTTTAACCAAAAAAAAAAAAAAAACTTGAGTGTGTTGAAATCGACAAATTTTCATGAATCAAATTCCCAAGTTTAGAGAGAAATTAGAAGAGAGAAGTTGTTTGGTGTGATTTTGATTTTGTTGTTGCCTCAAGAAACTTGACTGTGTTGAAATAGAAAAAATTTCGTGAATCAAATTCCCAAGTTTAGAGAGAAATTAGAAGAGAGAAGTTAAATTAAGGCCAATAGCAAAAACAAATTGAGGCAACAGCAAAATCAAAATTAAAATTGAGGCAAAATCAAAATCAAAATTAACATGAATCAAATTGAGGCAATAGCAAAATCAAAATCACACCAAATATTTGCAGATGTTTTTTTTGGATATCCTTTTTTTGGACTCATTAAGAACAAAAGTATTTGCAGATCCATTATCAGATTTTCCTCTTGTTCCCAACCATTTGAAGGCAGGCTTCCTTGTCTCTGGATGATGGGTCTGAGTGCCATTCAAGAAAGATTTAGATTAGATTACTTTAACATAACTTAAATGAACTAAGAGAAATTAAGAGAGTAATTTCATATGTAACCGTACCTTCTCAATGAAATATTCAGATAGCCGAGTGAAGAATCTAAAAGTTTATTACTTCTTAGCTAAAAGTTTATCAATACTCCTTCAATTAGTAAAATATTCAGATAGCCGAGTGAAGAATCATTACTTCTCATCATTGATGGATCATCAAGCAATATCTTAGCAGCTTCCTCAAGGGAGATCAAATCAACCTAAAGAAAGTGGTTTTAAACAATCAGGCCAAAGCTAATAGATACTTATGCATAACAGGATAGACAATAGAGTGCAATAATCTAAAACTTTTACATACATTAGAGCAAAGGAAGAGCTTGACAAAATTCTGTGTAAGAAGTCCCAAAGATTTTTCCTTCCTATTGTCTGTCAACAAAAGTATCTCTTCATGGTAAGTTCAACAATTGACCCAAGACTCAAAACATAAAATTACAAAACAACATTGAATTGTCCAATTGTTCAAGTATAATTGCCAATTTACAAAACAAAAAGATCAGTAAGTAGCAATATAATAATAAGTATGTGATTATATAAAATTACAAAACAACATTGACTTGTCCAATTGTTCAAGTATAATTACCAATTGACAAAACAAAAAGATCAGGAAGTATGTTTTTTTTTTTTTGCTTTGAATTTCTAACATGTAAATCAACAGTAAAAAAATTAAACATAGAATTTCCTGTTTAATGTTGAAATTTCCTGTTTAAAAAAAAAAAAAAAATTTGTTGAAATTTCGGAGGGAGGGTAACACCATAATAATTGAATCTCATTCTCCAAGCCAAGTCTGGCAATGGTAAGGAAGATTGAAGGTGCTGTGATTGTGTGAAACCACATTTATAAATTGAAGGCACTTTATGGGTACTTTTTTCTGGAAAAAAATTCGTACACACAATAACATGAATATAAACAACAACAACAATAACATCCAATTGAATATAATCGAATTTCACAATGAACTCAAAAAAACCCCTAAAATTAACCAAATCTTTAATATGACCAATTACTCTAGTTGGTATACAGTTAATCGCACAAAGCCGTGTTGTTGAAATGACACTTACCAACTTCTAGAGTAATCGCAAGAAGGTAAATAGAAAATAATAAAATCCTGAAATGACCAATATAAACCTGTTTCAAATTCTATATATAAAGACTATAAATAGAAAGAAGTCAGTCTCGTGCAATTTCTGAAAGTGCTAACATACTTACAAAAGATGTGTTGTTGAAGCATATGCCACCAAATGAGTGACATAACCTGATGTCATTGTGGAAGTCGTACATATCGAGCATCAAACATCTAACACCATTTTGCGAGGGGACCATTTTCAAAATAGAAAGTCATTTGAAGTGTTTGTATACTATAGCATCAGATTAACCAATCTACTATAAATTGTATCCTATTAAGAGCAGGTCAATCTGTTCACAGTTGCAGCAAACATCATCATTAAAATGAAAAGGAAATAATTGAAATCATTAAAAAGATTAAAGCTTTCATAATATTTGCATTGAAGTCAAGAGCACTACTGTGAAAGTATGCTCATTGTCCTGGAGACGATACCCAAAGAAAAATCCTGGTCATATGATCTTTGGCTGATACGTGCAGCATTTGAAATGAATCCATATGAAACATGATTGATCATGATTGCTCTAAATTTTTCTCAGTTGAAGCCAGGGATAAATCTTGGACAGAGATAGAGATAGAGATGGAGATGGAGATGGAGAAGGCAAACATGGTTAGAAATGGAGGAATGATGATGAAACTGCCAATCGGTTTTAGATTCCACCCAACTGATGAAGAGCTTGTGGTTCACTACCTCAACTGAAGATCCACTCTTTTCCATTGCCTGCCTCTGTCATTCCTAATCTTGATGTTTTACAGACCAACCCTTGGGACTTGCCTGGTTAGTTACAATTATTCCTCACTTAACTTATTACTACCTAGTTCCTAATGCCTACTAAATTGCGACAAATGTTTGGTTGCTTTCATGCCCTGTTAAAATCAACTAAACGAATAGTTCAAAATGCAATTTGTACATAAATTTAGGGGACATCAAATAAGGTGATGTCCTGTTAGGGGACATCAAATATTTTCTGAAAAAAATTCTAAAGTCAATCACCTTTTAAAAATACCCAACAATTTTTTTTTAAAATTATTTGCACACACAAATAAAAATATTTGAAATCTATGGATACTTTCAAAATTTTCATTATTTTATCAACACCAAAAATTGAACAAAGAAAATAAAAACAAAATCAAATAGACCCTTTTTATGTGTTTGTGTTCAATTGAAATTGATAAATTCTTCTAAGCAAACAAAATCAAATAGACCCTTTTTATGTGCTTGTGTTCAATTTTGTTTTTAATGATTTTTTCCCCCTCTCTATTCGGGGTTCAGGTGATTCAAAAGAGAAAAGGTATTTCTTCTGCAAAAGATCAAAAAAGAATGTGAACAAATGCAAGGGAATCACAGGGTTTGGTTATTGGAAAGCCATGGGCAAAGACAAATATATTATATCTCCTGGAAGCAATCAAGCTGTTGGGGTTAAAATTTTTCTCAGTTGAAACCAGGGTTGACACAGCCCGTCAGAGAGAGAGAGAGAGAGAGAGGCAGGACACGATGAACTCAAAAAAAAAAAAGACCTAAAATTAACCAAACAGTATCAGAAATCGCAATAATAATAAAAACACACAGCCCAACAGAGAGAGAAGGGGAGAAGTAGAAACCGAGGACTACCTTGCGAGCCGAGTTCGAGAGGCAGAAACCGAGGACTGGAAAGCAGCGTCGGAGTGAGCGAAAGAAGAAGAACAGAGAGGGAGGGAGGGAGAGAGAGAGAGAGAGACATGGGTGAGAATAGAGAGGGAGAGACAGCCGTGGGTAGGTGGAAGGCTGAGGGAGACAAATATTTGGGCGGGAAATAGATAGATCTGAGCCATTGATATATATCCAGGGTTGCTATAGACCATTGGATCAAAATGTATCTCACATACATTTTATACATTTTCAAAATCCTTCTTCCCTTATTATATAGATATATAGATAGATATGTACATTTTGACAACATGACCTATCTTCTCTCTCCATGCACTAAACACTACTCGATGCATTTCTAGCCATCTTCATCATGATCAAAACATCAACCACCGTCTGATTCCAACAAAATGGATCACATGATATGACACCCACTAGGGTTCTCATCGCTGAAAATCTGGAAAGAATCCAACGGCGTAGCATGCACTGCATAAACCTGAGGTTGCACGTATGCATACGTGTACGGTGATGATGGAATGTAGTAATTGGGACCACCGCTTTTACCAGGGTGGGCCGCATTGTAACTGACCACGTAGGCCGGATCAGGTACAAATGTTGGCGGGTATGGGTCTGGATGCTGACGTGTAAGGCCCAGATTAATCTGATCCATAACTTGAGCTGGACCCACATTTTGATTTTGAGATCCAGTGCTTGCCAGTGCACCAGATAAAGATGAACCGCCACTACCATTATTACCTTTATGCCCTTTCTTTTTCTTCTTTTTACCACCGTGCCCTCCACCACTTCTCTCAACAGCTCCATTGTTTTCCTTCGCCGGGGACTTCTCTCCGGCGGGACCACCACCATCGCCGCCGCCACTATTTTTGGCATTCTGAGTTGGGTTTTCTGTTTTCTCAACAAAACTGTTTTCACTTCCATTTGGGCCTTTTCCATTCTCTGATTTGCCGGAGTTCTTCTCTTTTCCGGCGACTTTTTCCGGCCAAATCTCAGCGTGTTTTCCGGTTTTAATCATTTTCTTGATCAGAGTCTCTGCTTTTACATTTCCAGTGACTGTGACTTTTTGTTGCTGCGAATCAATGGTTTGTTGAATTCACCCCATGTGAAGGGGAAATTGTCTTGTGAACACACCTTGGTTGGTCAACAAGGAAGTAGGCTACCAACCATGTCAAAGAAGGAGGCTGCCGAAGTCAAGCACCGGCCAAATCTCAGCGTGTTTTCCGGTTTTGATCAGTTTCTTGATCAGAGTCTCTGCTTTTACATTTCCAGTGACTGTGACTTTTTGTTGCTGCGAATCAATGGTTTGTTGAATTCACCCCATGTGAAGGGGAAATTGTCTTGTGAACACACCTTGGTTGGTCAACAAGGAAGTAGGCTACCAACCATGTCAAAGAAGGAGGCTGCCGAAGTCAAGCATGGAGGCTACCCAATGGCACTCCCACCTACTCAAAGGTGTATAAAATGGAATGGTGATGGTGAGTTGTAGACAGGGCAAAATGGCAAAACACATTGCTGAGAGGAAGGCACAAAACAGAGAGAGCTATTTTCTGTTTGTCAGAGAGTGTGAGTGAGTGTGTTATATAGAGAGACAGTGAGTTGAGAGTGTGTAATCTCCTCCATTTGTTGATATATAACAACATCGCTCCCGTGGACGTAGGCCGGTTTGCCGAACCACGTTAAAACTCTTGTGTTTTTGCTTGTGAGTGTCCCCTGGTGTGCCCACGATCCGCAACATGGTTGTGGTATAAACACCTGCACATATATAGAAAGAAAAGCGCATGTGATTTAAAAAAAAAAAAAAACTTATAGTATAGTTTCCTCTGGTTTTGTTATCATTTCCACTGTTTTTTTTCATTTTATTATTATTATTATTTTTTTTTTTTTTTTATAAGAAACAAAAACAGAGTATAGTTTGAAAGCAACCATCATTTTCATATAAATTTAGAAAACAGTTTTTGAAATTTTGCAAAAACAATTTTTTTGGTCTTTTCTAGAAAGTGGGTTATTTGAAAGGTTTTTTTTTTTTTTTTAAAAAAAAAATCGAAAATAGTTTTGGGAACACTTTGCCAAACAATTGTTTTGTGGTAAATAAAAACACAACCAAACAGTTTCTTTGAATGTTTGGTTATGTTTTGTTGTACTCTGTTTTCTTTTCTTTTCCTAAACAGTTTCTTTGAATGTTTGGTTATGTTTTGTTGTACTCTGTTTTGTTGGGAACCATAGTGAAGTGAGGATTTGAATTGAGCATTACCATCGATGCTTTGTAGAACTTTCTTGACTTTTCTCTTGCATCCTTCACAGTGGATGGGGACTTTCAAAACCCATGTCTGAAAACACACACAATTAGTATTAATATTAGCTCAAAAACATTAAAAGCAAAGTAAACAACAGTTTTGATGATGTTGATTATATGTATGTATATATACCTGGTATGTGAGTGGCTCCGATGGAGGTTCTTCAGCAGATGTAGTGGCCATCAGAGAGAAGAGAGGGATGGTAGTGGATGAGAGTGCTTTGAAGAGATTTGAAGGTTATTTAATACCAGGAATGAAAGATGAGAGAGACCTGAGAGTGAAGTGTAATAGTCTCTGCCGTCTATATAGCTAGCAAAAGTAACCAGTTCCATTGTTGGGGGCATTTATTTATATATATTGTAAATAAGGGTGGTCGGGTTGACCCGCAAAATGGAGCTCAAGCCTTTTCACAAGCAGGGCTGGGAGCAATTTTAGGCCCAAGTCATACCCAACGGACTTAGCCAAGATAGGCTCATGAGCTGGACAACGATAAGTACAGAGATTTAAGTGCTATTATTTGGGATGATTTTCATAATTTTTGACGGGTCACGGGTCAACCTAACGGGTGGCGTATTGCTAGCCAACGGAGAGGCATGGCATGCCAAGTGAGGATCCTTATGGTAAAGTGTTTATCATCTTATATATTATTATATTGATTTAATAGATTTTATTACTCATATCTATTACTAATATACACAAATATAATCATTGTAACATATTACTAAATTTCTCTTTATACTCGCGCATAGCAACTCCAATACTAATGCGTATTTTATCTAACCAAGTACATAAAAAAAAAATTATAATATTTTTAACCCATTTTCTTAATTTAAAAGTGCATGCGGGGTGGTACGCTCGAATGCTTAGGTGACTTTATGAGAGACATGGACAGTTTTTTTTATTTTGTAACATTCATCTTTAAGAATTTTGTTCCTGAAAAGGCTTCACCAATGTACCATATTGACAGCAAAATAATGTTAAAAGTTTTCAATTATTTGAGTTTTAAAAAGAAGTGCCCCTTAGAAACACCAGCACCATCTTCAGGATTGCAATCTTTGGTGAAAATAATTCATTAAACTGCTGCAGATCAGATCCCATGTGAACTGTGGGCTCACAACACCCTGTCTAGCTATTGCTTGCTCCTTTGAATTTTGCTCCCTGGCTTCATTTGACTAGGAAATAGTGAAGACTTGACCAAACAATTCAATCCAGGAAATGATATGCAAACAGAATTTTTATACAAAATTTAAGACAACAATAATATAGCAATGACATTTTTACAATTGTGAACAAAAGTGATTAATATTTTGACTTCCAACGAAACCTTATATGCACAGCTAAAGCATTCTAATGGCCAACTAACAGTAATGTTGTGTTTGGTTGGGAGATTTGAAGAAGGATTTGGAAAGAAAAATGAAAAAGATAGATAAAATGTGAATAAAACATGTCTATATTTCACCTAGTTTCAGGCACCTCGAAAACAGAACAATGAAACATTAAAAAACACATAGATTGCATATCATTTCAATCAAACACAGTATAAGAGACCATAGCTAGGGCAACAAATGGGATTAGATACTTGGAGAGATTTTCATAATGGCTTCAAAAGCTCAAGAGGACACTGATAGGTCAACCTCACATGATCTTAAAACTAAAGCTAAAACCCTCTCTAGCACCAATTAGTTTTACGACGGATGGTGAAAGCAATCTTAACAGATTGAAAGGAACACCTTATGGAGAAAGATTTGGAATCATAAACATAACATTGTAAATAAAATAAAATATTAATCAAAAAGTACTGAATAAATTCTAAACAGGCACATCAAATAGAGAGAGGGATGTGAATGGTGTCTTTCACCATAAAGTGTAGCAGTTATGAGGATAGTAAATGAGAGTATCAACCAATCCCGTGATTTAAAGTGAAGAGACCGTCCAATGCCAAACAGATCACCATCATCACTCAAATCTACTGTAGATAATAGGTTAAAAGTATAACATCCAATATTCTTCATACCTTCCGATGTAAAAAGAAAATAAATAAATAAATAATTGAGTCTAAAAGACCCATTCATTAAACAGTAAGGAATGAGCCCAAAATATGAAACAATACAATTACAAATTTAAATGTCATTCCAGACCCAATTACGCCAGATAAGAGATCTGTATTGAGCTAGACAACAAATGTTTTGCCTTTTTAAATTACTGAACACAATGCACAACATTGAGAAAATAAAAGGAAGCAAAGGGATGCTTATCTTCTCTAGAATAGGCTCTAAAATGAAGAACGGAAACGCAGGGGAAATAAGTCTATTGTTCAGTGTCCTTAATATTATCATCCTTAGGCAAATCTTGAACTTTCTCATCATTGCTTTTGACCTTGGCACCTTCAGCCTCTTTAACTTCCCCTGGAACATCCTGCAACTACAAAAGTTTCAAGATAATCAGTTTTTTGTTTTTTTTTTTGACAGAACAAAAACAAAAACTTGTTTTAAGTACACAAATATTTTGAAAACAAAGAAACATGTTAGGTGGTAGAGAGTGGCCAAATGTGGTGGCTGGCCAAAGATGGCAGTCTGGTCACCAAAGGGTGGACAAAGGTTATAGAAGGTCATTCATTGGAGGATAGCCAGAGGTAAGAGGTGGTGGGTGCATGGTGTGGGTGGTGGTCGAAAGTGGAGGAGGGACTAATAACTTATTTTGGAGGAAAAATAAAACACCTATTTTTGTTTCCAAAAATTTTGAAAATTTTGAAATCAATTCCACTTTTATGAAAATAAAAACAAACAAAATTTTGTTATCAGTTTCAAAAAAATTAAAACAAAAATAAAAATCAGAAAACAAATGCTAACAAACAACCCTTTAGATTTTCAAAATAATCAGTTCATACATGGCTTTTGAAAGTATAGAATGTTGTTAGGAAATGACTTAATGAATAGCCAAAAGACATGCACAAGTTACAAATTCCCAAGATAGCTTACCCCTAAGTTTCTTAAGCTAGCAGTAACATCCTCTTGCTGCTGCTGGAGAGTGGTCCTCAGTTCTTGAAATTCCTAGTTTTCATGCAAATAAAGCAAATTTACGCATACCATTCTATATAATATCATATATATATATATATATACCATTCTAGGGGTGACCATTGGTTCAATGGTTAAGACTTGACCTAATAACCTTGAGGTTATGGGTTCAAGTCTTGGGCCCACCACTTTGTGTATTATGCCAAAGGTTAGGTGTGGACTCAATCTTTACCCTCCCAAACACACATTAATGTGTACTAAGTGGGCGTTGTTTTTGTTTTTATATATATATATATATATTAAAAGGTCAAACTGGGGAAAATATTGAGTGTTGCTCACTGATCGAAGTTGGTCCACTTCAACATTGAGTGATTTCTTTAGTTCTGAAAGCTCCTGCATTGAGTAAGAAAAAAGTATAGGAGTTGCTGGAAGATAACATTGACAAGTTTAAATAGCACCTGAAGCACAAAAAACTGTTTGCAATAATCCAATTGGCAAGGGTTAGACGGAGAAAACTAATGTCTACAAAACATAAAGGTCTACAAAGTATCATTTTCATTTTCTGCATTTCCGTTTTTCTTGCTTTCGAAAACAGAACAATGAAACATTAAAAAACACATAGATTGCATATCATTTATATTTTTGTGCGAAAGTAATTTTAGAAAACAATTTGGCAAACAAATGAAACTATTGAAAACAACTTCAACCACAAAAAATGAAACTTCAAAACGTAAATCTCACAAATATGCTACATTTCCAACAATAACCACAACCAAAAGAGTGACTGTCGATGCAACTTAGGCTTTTAACAAGGCAATTTGTTCAAGGACAACTATCATCCAAGTCAAGAAAAACACAATTTTGTCTATTCACAATAGGACCACCCCAATAAAAAACCATTAGCAAATGCTAGGCTTCCTACAAATTTGGTAACTGCAATGGAAAGGATTGCCCTTTTGACAGGGCAGTCCAAACATTTTGCCAAAACAATTAATTTATGGAAGGACAAAACTGTCATCCAAGTTAAGATTCTAAAAGATCTTAAAAGATAGTTTTGCTCATTCATCTTAAAATTCTCCAGACAAAAGCCAATGCTGCCTTGGCAATAAGGGTAGCTCAGTGGAAAACCATAAGCAAGACAACTTGAAAAAACAAAAACACCTAGTATCAAAACATAATCCCGAACAAACTCACTTAATGGTTGGTTCATTAAGGGTACGTGTTTTCTAAATTGGTGGCTTTGTATGAAGTCTATTTTTGAGCATGATAGAAACTGAAATTTTGAAAGGGTTTTCTTCTAATTTTCAAAATTATATTCAAGGTAAAGGCATCATCATAGAAATGAGAATGCACGATATACAAAACAAATAAAAGCTAGAGGATGGCATAAGAAACACACAAAACAAGCACCCAAGTATTGCACAAACCACACAAAGGACTAAAAGAGGGTTGTGTTCCAACAAGAAGCACAATTTTCAGCTCAATGACTGACTATCAAAGCGTATATTCCATGTATGAAACATTTTATATGATGCATAATCAAGGGAAGAAGAAGAAGTAATTTAAATTTAAATCACATTAAAGAGCTAAACTTACATCGCGGTAGACCTTAACTTGAGTGTCTAACTTTGACCTCCAACCTTGTAGATCCTAATAAATGTCAAGCAAAACAAACATCTGTTTATAGCCACAAATAAAAATAGAAAAAGATGGAAAACAAACAAATAAAAATAAATAAATAAAATAAGAATTTGTGTTAATTGGAATCTACCTGTTTCAACCCTTGAATCCTACCAAGAAGTTCTTGCCTGGATTCGCTCAATTCCTGAGAAACAAACAAGGAATAAGCTCCCAAAATTACAACAAGCTAACACTCGAAGCCCAAAACATTTCATCTCACCGCAATCTTCGAATTAATAGGCGTTATGTTCTCCTTCTTCTGAAAAACAACCACAACAACAACAACAAAAAATTGCAAATCAGTAGCGAACGAGCAAAAATTCAATCCAAACCCAAAACCCAGATTTCAACATAGAGAGATAGAGAGAAGTGAATTACGGAGGAGAGAGGAGCGGGAGGAGGCACAGAGGGAGCTGAATCGGAGTTTGCCATCAAGAGAGAAGAGAAAATTGAATTCTAGGGTTTAGGGTTTGGGATCTTGGATTAGATGATATAAATGGCTGAGAGAGAGAGAGAGAGAGAGAGAGAGAAAAGATAAAGAAAAAATGAAAGTTGAAACTCTGTTTGTGTTTGTGTGTGTGTCGCTAACTACTATGGGGCTGTGAAATGGAAGGAGGAGATAGAGATTTATGAGATTCAAATTTTCAAAAATTTTGAGAGTGTTTTGTTTGGGCGGGTCCGATCCGATCGTGATGGGGCGAATTCTTTTTCAACTTGAGAGAAAGAGAGAGAGAGGTTCACATGACTACTGTTTCCAATTGCTTTTTCGTCGGTGTTTGTTTGTGTTTCGAATGGGAATCGCCACAAATCATGTTCCGGCCATTTGTAAAAGAGTAAGATTAGAGATTTTAAAAAATTTATTAAAATTTTCATTAAATGTTTTATATGGCCGTGGATTCACACATCTCATGTGAGTTTCCTATCATATGAAATATTTGGTATAACTTTTAAGATTTTTAATATTTTTTATTTATAAATTTTAATTAAATTCAGATTATATATTAAATTTTGAATTTATTTAGTTTTTCAAAAAATTATTAAAAACCATTCAAGGTTTGATTTTAATAATAAAATTATTTTTTAATTAGCTTTTAATTTAAATTATTGACCTTTTTAGGTAAAATAGATAAAAAAATATATATATACATTTTGTCACTAAACTCATGTACATAAAATATTTAAAATATTATTATTTTTAATAATTAAAATATATTTTTCTGTCAATTTTACGTAATAAAAATATACATGTGATTTAAATTAACAAAATTAAAAAATTATTATATTATAAAAATCAAACCCTGAATTATTTTATTTTTTTATTTTGTAATTTCTTCTTAATTTTTGAAGTGAACTTAGGGTAAGTGGTTTTCGTTGATCCCACCTCATTTTATAAAGGTAGTGTTTGGTATATTTTAAAATTATGATTTGATAATAGAGTTATATTTTGAATTTGTGAGTTTTTTAATTATGATTTGAAAAGATGAAATTTGTTTGGTTATGAATTTTGAATTGAGTTTTGAATTTTTGATGTGACATGTTGTTGGCTTTTTTGGCTTTCGAAGATTAATATTGTAATTTTAAGCGTATCAGTAAGGATTAATTAGTCCTTACAGAAGATTAATTACCAATCAATTATCAGACGATTGTGTTTTAGTTCTTTCAGCCTCAATGAAGAGGACTTTTACTGGTGGCTTGTCTAGGAGAATTTAGTAAATAACAATTAAGTGAAGAATAATTTCAGAATTTCACTAAGTAAAATGAAAAACTTACAATGATCTGACACAGCCTCGTAGAGGTTTACAGCAACAAGTTATTTGAAACCACTCCTATGAATGAAGTGCAGTACAAGAATTTGAAGCACAGAAATGTAAAGAACTATAAAAACTGGAAGGGAAAACAAAGTAAATAAAACTGGTTTTTTAATCTGAGTCTGGATCTTTCATTCTGGGGCCTTCTCTTTTATTTATACTTCTTAATGATAACCGTTGAAGTGGGTTTCTAACCGTCGAAATGTCCTCCCCTTGATTGTTGAACAGGCTCTCTCACAGTCAGTCTCACTACGCCACCTTTGCAATTAGGCTTCCCTTCTGATTTTGAATTTGAACTTTGTGAGTAACCGTTAAGCCACATCACCTTATATCCCTTGATTGTTCCAGTGCTATGCAGATCCCCTAAAAATTTTAATTTCTTAAAAGTCCCTTACTTTTAAATTATTTCCTTGAAGTCCCTTAGTTTCTTAATTAATTGCAACCCTAGGATCAAAATACATACACCAACAAAAAACCCGCAAACCCTAATCAATTTCGGAAACTTATAAATAATTTCTAATACTCTAATTGACTCCCTAAATATGAAATTACCACTTGGAAACCCTAGGCTTTCCAATCTTTATCACATTCGTCGGTTGATCTCGTTTTTGTTTGAAACAAGAAATCCAAACCGAATTAGACTCTCTAACCCCTAGTTAATTTAATTCTACACTAAAATAAATGTTTCAATTTATAAATTAAACCCAATGCCCTCATGTTTTTCTTAAATCACATTTTGACCCCAAACTAGTAACATTACACACACACACACACACACACACACATATATATATATATATATATATATTTGTACATTTCTTAAATAAATATTTTTATACACAAATATCTTCATATTTATATATAAAATCAACAAAAATCTCCACAAATCTAGCACATGGCCAGACATCACCCTCTCTAAGCTACAATCATAGGTACTTTAGAGACAAATCCCTTAAGTCATTAAAAAAGCATCATTGGTACCCCCAAATCAAGGAAAGTTGTCTTGTACTTGTAACTATCTTGGTTCTACTTAAGCCTAACCCTAACTAGATCGTGCCTTAATACATGATTAGGCTCCCTAATGATCCTTCATTCCATTACATTCCAACTAAATACATCTCAATTCCATTCCATTCCAACCAATGGGCATTTTGGACCTTTTACACCAATTTTATTATAAAAACACCACCAACCTCCACATGTTACACATCTCATACACTCACACACCTACACATTCAGTTGATAGAAAGAAAGAAAAGGAAGAAAGTGAACCTTGGTAGTAGAGGAGAGGAAAAGGGGAGACAATTGTGCAAACACTTCACTAGGCAATCAAGTAAACCACAACAGAACACTTTCTTTCATTTTTCTTTTTCAGATACATGTTATTAGAAGTTTTAAATGGTATTTTCAGATGTGTTTTGATGGTATTCTCATGTTAAAAATGAAAGAAGTTGAGTCTTGATTCTACTCTTCTTGTATTTTTCTTAATCTGTATAAGACTACCTTTTTCCATATCAAATTCTCAAAATTTCCAAAGGCACACCTTCACCTTAAATTTTTGAGTTTAATACATATTATTTAGCAAGTTTTCATCACAATATAAGTGGAAAATTTCCCCTAGTTGACCTATTTTCTCACAAATCTTCTGATATTTGAGTATTGTGCATGAAAAATCTATTTCACAGCCAACTTTCAAAAATTCTAGAAAAATGCTGAAAAATCTTTTGGACCTCATTTTTATGTCAACATCTTCCTTAAAGAGTTATATTTCAAGTAAAATTTATTTCATTGAAAAATAGTGAGCGGTTTGTAAGAAAATCCAATTTTCGTAACGATCAACGAATCTGGACAACGCTGGAGCATAATCTAGAAAAGCTATCACATTTCCGAAACATGTTCTGAAAACTAGATTAAATTCTTTACGAACCATAAGAAGGCTAGGTTCAGGAAAGATCTGATAGTCCTTTTGATTTTAATCTTTAAATGGTATTGAATCTAGAAATTTAGTTTTGCATGGGTGTTTTATGCTCTTGTGTACATGAATATGCTTATTAGTTTTATGATCATGTCTTGGTATTATATTGCATGTGTTATGGTTATGTTCTTTATCTTCTTCATGCTAATGATTCTCATGCTTATATGGATATTACTATATTGTTGAGTTTGTTCTAACTTGACTTAAAACATTGATCTAAACGGAAAACTTAATTGGGATGGTATTAGGTTTTCGATCACTTGAATAATGAAGAGATGATATTGTGTTATGTATGGATCGATGGGATGTGCTCCCTAATTAAAGGTTAAGTCTTGCGTAAGTAGTTGTCGCATAAAACCCTATAATGGAATGGACGTATTCAGACTTTTTGCGATGGTTTGATTGCTGAGATAAGCTTGGGTCCGGATAGGACATTCAGGAGGATAAAACTTTTTTGAAAGGATAAGGTTGGATTCAGGAGATAAAACTTTTTTCTTTTTGCTATCCCTTTTGAGGCCCTGCGGTTGGCGCTACTCGGTATATAACCGTTGGTAGGCATTCGAGGTTAGTTCTGCAACAAAATAGCAAAAGGGAGAGTTCCAAATAGTCCGGTGTCCAATTCTTGTGGTTGGGAAGATGAAATTTCGTTGGGAGGATGAAATCTCTTTGGGGGATTTCTAGAATACTAACCACTAACATTATAACCTTTATTATCTGTTTGAATGACAGGTTCATTTCCTTTATTATTGAAATTGTTGTTATTGACTTGAATATCATGCTTCACTACTTGCTTGCTATAAATGTGATGATGTATTGGATTGGAAAAAATGGACGGGGTGTGTGTGCATTTACTAGGCTGTAGACACCCCATTTTTGACCGACCTTAAGACTTAGACGTCACCAATTGAGCGCTCGGTGATGATGTATATTGTGCTCGTTCTGAGGTTTCAGAGTCTCGGCTGTGAGTCTTGCCTCCGGACTTCGGGGCTTTTTTGTGCTTTGCCTCGGTTTGCAAACCAGGTCCTTTTTTCTCTTCTCGAAGGGAGGGAGAGGTCTCGTAGACCATTTCTCAATGGTCGTAGGCTACGTTTCGTGGTCGTAAGCCATTTTTCCCATTTGGAGCCCAGTTTTTGGTTTTCGGAGCTGTCGATCGTGTGTCTCGGTTCGGGACCGCTTAACTACCTCCGTTTGCTCCGATTTTTGGTACACACCTTATTTCCTCCCTTTAGAGGGACACTGTGGCCCGGGAAACCACCTTCGTGATCATACGCCACTTCCGGTGCCTAACAACCTGTTTTCGGGGCTTCGGACTGCGCGTTTTGGCCCCCGAACCTTCGTTTTGCATCTGTCTTGGTCCATTTTTGGTAGATACCCTATTTTCATTGCTAGGGAGGTGGTAGTATTGGAAACCAGCTTTCTCTTTTTCTCTCTCCTCCAGTCGGTTTTTCTGACAGAAAGTTGGTTTTTCTCACTTTTAGGCCACAATTTCTAGTTTTTCATACCACCATTATGTTGTGCTCATATGGGAGGCCACCAACATGGGTAGGCCGACCAGTAATTCTTCTTGACCCTTTTGAACCTTGCTAAAAAGCTGGTTTTTCTCTCTCTTGAGTCATATTTTCTAGTTTTTCACTATACAGCTGTGTTGCACTCATCTGGGAGGCCACCTTTTTGGGGTGGCCGGCTAGCATTTCTCCTTTGAACCTTTTGACCCCTGGTCGGCTGACCAGGGGGAGTGGCCGGCTGACCACCTTAACGTCGGCCTGCTTCTTGCTTTTTGCTCTCTCTGAATGCATCACAACTGTGCCAGCTGAGGGGCATTTGGACCATCCTCCATACACGTGTATGGAGGATACTTGAAGCTTCTAAGAGAAGCTTTGGCCTCTCTTCTCTATAAGAGAGGCCCTCCTCTTCCTTTACTGGGGTTCAACAATTTTGTTTAAGGGATACACACACTTCCCTTCATAGCCCACTATTCCAAGCTCCAAACCCTAATA